TGCCGGTACTCTGCTCGTGCAGAAGCAACGTGACTAGGTGCTTCTTCAATCCCTCTTGCATAGATCATACTAGCTGTATTAGCCGCATATATAGCCTGTGCGTCATTCCAGGTTCCGGGAGCGTCTGCTCCATAGTCCTTCCGAAACTTGGCTTGCCGTAGATGCCGGCGAGAGATAGCAATCGCTGCATGCCGCCAAAGAAGGATATTTGCATCGGTATTGAGATGTTGCTTGAACTGCTGTGCGAGGACGTTCGTCAAGCGACTACTTGGCCACAGCTCGCTGTGAGTTCCTTTCTTGATCGCCCAAAGGAAGGTTGGGGCACTAGGGCTTTCATTGAGAGCAAGCATACACAGCTGCTCGCAGAATGGCTGGACGAGCCAGACGTAGTAGACCAAGAGCTCACTTATTGCCTCGGGCAGATACCGGTGGATGATTTTGGTTGACCCCGAGACGCTATATCCCTTGTGGTAGAAGGTAACAAAGCCAACAAGTCCATTCTCGATAAATATATTCCGCTGTAGCCCGTGGAGAGTATTACGCAGCTACAAGCTAAGAAGCTTAGTTCCTCGTGCAGGTTGGCCCCCAAGAATATGGATAAGGAGAAGCAATAGCTTAAGGAAGGTGTTGGCCTGCTTTAGGTATTGCTCAGCAGTCTTACGCCGCCACACGACCTTTGCGCCCTTGATCAAGAACTCTTACTACAGCCAAGTCTCATCGAGTACACGATTAAGCAGCCATCGATCTTATCCTTAGAGGTGGTCATTCCGCGGGTCGTTTAGGAAGCACTAGCCGGGCTTGCTATTAGCCGGATCGTCCTTAAGCCGGAAAAGATTAACTAGTGGAACAACCTCATCTCGCTCTTCGTCTGGATGTACACGTAGTAGCTCCTCTAAGAGCGACTGTGCAACGGCTGTCTAGGTCGCCAGGAACTTCTTCAAGTCGGTCATCCCTAGTTCTAGGCCTTTGTAGCTAAGGTGTTCGCCGTCGTCGGTCCAAGAGATATATCCCAGAGAGGTAGTGATCTCATTGATTTGCTTCCCAAAACTGCGTAGCTTCTGTGCCTAGTTTATAGGGGAGTGTGTGCCATATACCATAAAGCGCTCTTGTATAACATTCAACATATCGGCTATATGTGGAACCTCCCCTCGATCTACGGCAAGCACTGCCCGTTAAATGACGAGGAGCTGGGCTATCTTGATAAAGGCAGAGAGATATGGGGTATAATGTAGAGAATCGCTAAATGTGGTATTCTAATCCGCCGATAATCCAAGAACCGCTATAAAAACGACGATAATACTGTCGTAAACTGTGTCGAATAAAGCATAGTCTAATAACGAGATGCACAATTGGATCGTAGCATAATTGAGATTTTGCCGGAGCTATGCTGCCACCAGACTAGTGCTTTGCTGTTCCTGTGCAAGCTCGGCCGTAGCTTGCATCACTCGATCGAGGGCTGTCACCTGAGCATCGGTAAGACGATAAGAGAGCTCAGGGCCTTGGTTCCGCCAGACGCGCCGATAAACGAAGCTTAGCAGTTGCTTCCACACCTTCTTATATGTAGTGTAAGTGCCTTCTTAAAGCTTGTGCACTAATGAGAAGTTAGTAGTCTTGCGGGTGAGGAAGCTACTAACACGCTACTGATCGAAGATGTTGATCCGGTCAGTTCGGAGGGATTCGCGGGCTTGCTCGATAAGACGGTCAAAGGATTCAAGTACGAGAACGAGGTAATTATCTGGCTAATCGGGGTCGAATAGGGGATAAGGCGATGGGAGATCAAGGAGCCGTGTAATACGACCCAAGTTATAGCCCCGAAAGTACCGCTCCTATTGCGTTAAGTCAAGCCATAGAGAGACCTTAGTCTTATGGCGCGAGGTGATATTGGGCTTAGGCGCTTGGAGCTTTTGAGCCAGAGTCTGCTCTACCTGTTCTCGGAGGCCGAGGGGTGGTCTCTCCAGGGCGTCCGCAAGTTGAGCCGGTGCCGGTGCCGGTGCCAGATCAGAGCCGATAGGCTTACCGCTATTAACGAGGAAGTAGTGGGTGTAGCCCTTTGTGTGAAAGGTCTGGCAAACGACAAGAGAGTAAGCAGCAGTGCTGAGTGGAAGGGACGATGTGGATGAGCGGTCTGCAAAGCCTTTACTTTTACTCCATTAATGGGCCTCCCTCAGATGGCTGAGTAGAAGCCGTTGGTCTCGGATCACGTACGGCTAATTAAGAGGGCATAGCTTGCAGTAGTAAGCGTTGTCGTAGATCCGCAGGTGGGGGATTGGGGGCGTGTGAGTGGGCACGTGGAGCTGCTTCACTTCTCGGGGAGGGAGTAGAGAGTCCGGGGTGAAGAGACGAGCGTATTCCTGGACTTTACCGAGTGGGATAGCAGCCTTGTGATGGTCGTACAAGTGAGAAGCAACCGCTGTAGAGTGAATCGCATATCTGTAGCTCGTACAGATCAAGACGTTGTAAGTTGGATTGAAAGAGAGAAGATCCATTATATTATTGTAATAAAGGGAGGGTTCTAAGGCTTTTGCGGGGGTTGGAAAGACAGACGGCTTAAAGGTGGTTTATGTTATCTTTTAGCAGGTATCCGATTCGAATTCGAGCACATCGAGCAAGTTGAAATAGAGAATACCAAGACGCGTCCCAGGTCTGACGCGTCTTAGCTTCCTCGCGGGGGGCGCGCGCGGTGGTCCGTGCAACCCCACTCCCTTCTTCGGGCCTAGCGGGGGTTCCGGCCAAGCACAGCGGGCGCATATACCCTTGCGATTATTATTTAAAATAAAAGTACTTAATAACTTTTATTACGTACGGAAAATAAAAAAGAAAATAAAAAGACGCATATAATACGAACGTATAGTTAGCGACTATATTAGTTGTATTTTTTATAATAATTCTAATTCTATTTAAGTTACTATAATATAAAAAGTATAATTAAGTACGTGCGCTATACTCGATTAAATATAATACTAGGGAAACTAGCGCTCTCGGACTA